TTATATAATCATACTATTTAGGATGAACAATTATATAAAGAATACTAATGAAGATGAGTTTTATCAGATATAAAGTCACTCCACGTGACATATAATGGCTGACATAATTTGCCATTATTAATGAGTATTTTAAGTACTGTTTAATTAATAAACGAGCAGGAGTGTTTTATTGCACGACCTGCGAGTTAATTAAACGGCTTCAAACACGACTACAAATTCAATAGATATACTGCCTTTATTAGTATTCTTTATATAAAAAATACTAATGAGGATACGACTACAGTACAATAGATACTGCCTTATTAGTATTCTTTATATAAAGAATACTATAATTAGAAGGGTTTTTTTCAGGTCTAAAGTCACTCCACGTGAGATATTATGGTTGACATGATTTGCCAGTAAGCGCTAGCTTATGAATTATTAATGAATAATGAGTGTTTGAAATATATTTCGCAGATTGTGTTTTATTATATATATATAACTCGCAGATTGTGTTTTATTAGTTCTAAAGCCACTCGCGCTGCGCGCTGGTGGCTTTAAACCTAATAAAACACTCCTACTCATGTTTTAAATAGTACATAATAAATTGTTGTGATATTGTCTCTAAGTGTGTCCACACTAATGGCAAGCTGACAACTCAGAGACATCACAAACAGGGTATGGTTAGGAAAATATTTCACTAACCTTAAGCTGCGAACCAATTTACCGACGTGTATATGCAGTGATATCAATTGTTGAATATTTAAATATATCAATAATTAAACCTTTGACTTTGTCCCATTCCAGTCTATCACACTGAGCTCCAAGTCTTGGGATTGCTAACTTCTTGATGTCATTGTCAACACAGTGAGCTTGCATTGCATGTAGGGATTGTCCCATTGCTTCAAGTGAGCCGCAGTCCCACCATCTTTGACGAGTCATCTGAAAAAAACAAATGATTGGGTCATTACTCATTCCTTAAAACATCCAGTTGGAAGTTAACCCCCCCCCCCCCCACACACACACACACCCTTTGGGTGTCTTACTACCTGTACCTGGTAGCATATTTCTCTTTCTAGCTCCATACCCATGCAAAGAAATGGCTGGTGATCATGGGTTTTCAGATGCGGGGTTGCAGGGAGGAGCACACTGGGCTCACCTAGTGGTGTCTAGCACCCGAAGTCCAGCACCACCCTAAAAAATCTGCTTCACCATACATTTTATGCTTTTCGAATAGCGATTAGCCAAATTCTAGTATCCTGTGGATATTGTAGAATAATTTGTAACATTATACTATTGATAACGCCGTAGGAGACCAGACAGTGGGTGATTTAGTTGATTGACGTAAGAAATGTATCGTATGTCAAAAATAATAGACTTCGAATTGATTGTCAGACTGAAAGCACGAGAGAAAACCAGGGGCCGGTTGTATAAAAACGTAATTAGCGCTAACTGTAGTTAGCGTTAATCACTGTAGTTAAATCCTTAACTGTAATTAGTTAACTACATGACTGACTGCGTTGCACAAAACGTAGTTAGTCGGATAGTTAACTAATCACGTAGTTAACTGTGCGTGGGGCTTGCGTGGGGCGTTTAAACACAAGATTACATAAAGTAAACAGGGAGTAACGACCACTGACACGCATTTTCAACATGATTGTGGACTCGTATTTTTCAAATAGGCGGGAATTTTATTCAAAACACTAGAAAACAGTGAAAAATTCCAAACACTAGAAAACAGTGAAAAATAAACAAGAAAACAAGGAAAAACCGCCACAAAAATCACAAAAGAAGGCAGTTTTTCCTTGAGATGTCTACGTTAAACCAAGGTGTAGCTGTTTGGCAATTATATATCAGTGTTTCTTGGTGTAATGGACCATACTTCGTCTTCGAGAAATCGTCCTGTGCAAAAATATGTTCTGTTATCGTAAAAACACCAAAGCGATAGCGTTTGAAGAGTTTATATTGTCAAGAAACATTCACAGGGAAGATAGCGATTGAAAGTCTCAGGTACGCGTTGCTTTTCATTACTGTTTCACTGAAAAATGTTGTTCACTCCTATACAAACGCCATTTTAACTACGTTTTGGACAGTTAACTATCCCCGTTAACTTTAACTACTTTTTAACTGCAGTTAAGGCTAACTACACTTTTATACAACCGGCTTAACTACGTGATCAAAGTTAACTATTTTTTAAGGCTTTTTAACTACTTTTTAACTGCAGTTAGCGCTAACTACGTTTTTATACAACCGGCCCCTGATAGTATACAGTCCCCACGAAGCGCAACTGTCTTGCGGTGTAAGACAGAAAAGTACAACAGATATTGGGACACTGCAAATTTCAGACCCTGTACAATTAGACTTAAATCAGGGTGCAATAATTCGCGTACTTACGTACCGGAGGTACGCCAATATTACGGTCTGGTACTTCTTTGTTTACAGCTATCTGCGTACTTGCATTTTGCTGGTACCACATGACCTTTCCAAGCCCAAGGTATTCAAGACCGTAACTTAGTTGGTGTACAGCATATCATGTGTCTGCGGAGATGCAGAGTTCAATATAATTCTGAAAACCTGGTCTGACAACCCTTTTTCTCAAGAGGGACATGTCAGTTGTCACAGTACTAGAAACCGTAACAACTACCAAAAGTCCAAAACCATATGCATATGCATAATGGTTAACACAGTATACATGCAATTTACTCCGTTGTTCCGTTTATAAGTAAAATTTACTTCGTTATATTTTACTCCTTTAAGTGGAGTTAAATTGACCCTCAGTGGAGTATATGTTCGAACTATCGAAGACTGAAGTGTAGTTTTAACTTCATTTTTGGAGTAAATTTAACCGGCAAAATTTTCACTCCCAATTTTTAATTCTCAGTGGAGTTAAAATTACTCCTTAACGGGAATTAACAGTCGGCACACTCAACTAAATGACCAATAAAATGTTGGTTATAATAACTTTTATAAATTGCTCGAAAGATGATCAATTTTTTCGACCAATTAAGTAATAGTCAAAGGAACCAAATTTAATTGGTCAAATGCGACTAACTAATTAAACAACTGGTCAAAATGACCAATTGCCAATGGTTGCAACCTAAAAAATTGGTCATTTTAACCAATCAGTTTTTACAGTGTACAGTTAACAAATATAAAACATTTTCCGTGTTGATATACAGTTATATCAACACGAGTGGAAATTGGGAAAACGAGAAATTGTGTGGAAACACGACGCCCGAAGGGCGGAGTGTTTTCACACAATTTCGAGTTTTCCCAATTTCCACGAGTGTTGATATAACTGTATATCAATACGGAAAAATGTTTTATATTTGTTTTATAATATAGCACAAAGAAACATAAAGAAAGAAATTTTCCGACGTTTCCGTGTTGACATTGAGTTATGGTGGCAGCGGTGGGATATTTCATGCCTTTAGAGAAGGTATGCCAATGACAACGAGATCGGCAGCGAGATTAAACAGTGAGGAAACCAACGAAGACGACATGGATGACCGCGGAGAAGAAAATACACGTATCACGGGCAGTGATGAGAATTTTGTTGAGTTATTTTCGATGATGAAGCAGCAAACTGAGCTTATAATGGAGCACAAAGTGGCCCAAACAAAGCAAATGAACGAAATACAGCGTTTGATTGGTGATATTGACGGGAAAATGGAAGGAATTAGCAAGCGACAAGACCGGCTAGAAAGGAGACTAGACAGAGTCGAGACAGACCTTGCGTACGTGAGTGGTGAAGTCGAAAAGTCTGGGGAAAGTCAACGAAACACTATGGCTGTGAGTGTTGAATGTTTCGAAGCAAGGCTTGACGTAGTGGAGAATCGCGTAGACAGGTTCGGCGAGGGCATAGACACAATCCAAAAGGAACTCGTGCCGAAGTTAAAAGAAAGCGTTCTCGAAGAACTTTTAGCCGAAATTAACTTGAAAGAAACGAGGAAACAAAATTTAGAAATGCTAAATCGGGATGTGAAAAATTCTCCGCAAGGTATCGAGAACATTCGTGCCAACAAAATTGCGACTCCCGTTTTTCCATCACCCAGAAGGCGATATACCCCATCCACGTTAAAACCCGAGGATAGTGGTTGTGTTACCTCGACGAATGTTCGCGTCAGAGATGCTGAGGCACCCAACAAGCTTTTACAGAAACCAACGACCTTCGATGGCACAACATTATGGGAATCCTACTACGCGCAGTTTGAGATAGTGGCGCAATTAAACAAGTGGAATGATTTTCAAAAAGCAGCCTATCTTGCTACAAGTTTGAAGGGACCTGCTTTGGCGGTGCTGGGTAACTTGGCTCCTGAAGAACGTCAGAATCTCGATGTTTTAGTGGTGGCGTTGAAGAATCGATTTGGAACAAGTCACCAAACGGAACTATCACGAATGAAATTCAAAAACCGCATCAAGCAGAAAGATGAGTCATTGCCTGAAATGGCCGAGGATATCGAACGGTTATGTCGACTCGCTTATCCAGACGCCCCTCCTACGCTACGTGATGTACTCGCGCGGGACCAGTTCGTTGATGCGTTGACTGATGAAGATACCCGATTGCGTATTAAGCAAGAAAGACCCAAGTCACTGCGAAAAGCCTTGGAAGCTGGTCTTGAGTTGGAGTCGTTTCAGATAGCTGCTCGACAGCGTCTCAAAGTGTCACGAGAAACAGAGTTACTTCGTGCAGCTAGACCAAGTGGTACAGAGCAGAAGGAGCAAAGAACGTACAACCAACTCGAGGAGGGAAAGTTGGAGATGACGAAGATACTCGAACGTCTGGAAAGGTCGATGAAGCTTTGTCTTGACGGTGTTTTGGCAGCGGTAAAGGTACAACGAAGGTCGCCGGAAGAGCCTGGTTGCTGGAATTGTGGTGATTTGAATCATATTAGAAGAAACTGTCCAAAATCACGCAATGATGACGAAGAATCGGATGATCAGGGAAACGGGAAGTAGCTGGTCCTACGGGGCGAGTGCCAGCTCAACCGAATGCTCCAACCAAAATCTTAAAAACAGGAATGATGCAAGGAATAGCGGACAGTTTGATCATATCTGGCAGTATCGAAGGTGTGAATTGTGACATGGTGATAGATACGGGATCTAACATTACAATTTTGAGACCGGACGTATTGGGGCGAGTTTCGAAAGACGTAGACATTGATGTACAGCCAGTAGACAGTTTATTACGGACAGTAACCGGTGAAACAACACCAGTACAAAGTCGTGGTAAGCTCGCTTTTCAAGTTGGAAATTTGAAAGTCGTACATGATGTATGGATTGCAGATGTCGAGAACGAGTGTATTTTGGGACTAGACTTTCTGATTTCGAATGACTGTGTTGTTGATGTACAAGAATCCTGTTTGCGTATTGGCCCAGAAGAAATTCGATTCAAGGGGATGACAGCCACAAAGAAATCAGTTTGTCGCAGAGTGATGGTTGCTGAAACATGGTTGGTTCCACCGAAGAGCGAAGCGATAACTCCAGGAATGCTGGACGGTGATGGTAGTTCTGAAGAAGGTTGGGGAGAAATCAGCCCTAGCAAGGAACCAGGATTGTCCAGTGATATTCTCGTAGCAAGGACGGTTGTAGATATTCGTAAGCCCATATTTGCTGTAAGAGTGTTAAACATGTCGGATGATGAACGAATAGTCCGTGAAGGTACAGATGTTGCTAGTTGTGAAATCATCGACAGTGTGACCGTGGTGGGGAAGACTGAGCTTGGAAGTCGTGAAGCGAGTGATGAGTTACCTGAAGTGGTAAAGAAGCTTTATGACCGTAGTTCCGGAGGTTTGGACGATTCACAAAAGAGTCAGTTGTATTCGTTGCTGGTGGAATTTAAAGATGTGTTTTCAGAAAGTTCAGGTGACATAGGGAGAACATCTTTAACTTCACACAAGATTGACACTGGTAACCAAAAACCGATCAAACAACAACCGCGGCGTCTACCACTGGCGAAGGTGGACATTGCACAAGAGGCGATTAAAGGAATGCATGAGCAAGGAATTATCGAACCTTCAAGCAGCCCCTGGACAGCGCCTATTGTCTTGGTGAAGAAGAAGGACGGCACAAACAGGTTCTGCGTTGATTACAGAAAGTTGAATGATGTGACGAAGAAAGATTCCTACCCGCTCCCTCGAATCGATACGACACTTGACGCGTTAGCTGGCTCGAAGTGGTTTTCAACTCTGGACATGAAGAGTGGTTATTGGCAGGTGGACTTGGAACAATGTGACAAAGAAAAAACGGCGTTCTCGACAGGCTAC